ATATTTCAAGTCTTGCGAAAATAAATCACTCATGCCAGGAAAGTGAGAAAATTTTTTTGTATTGTTTTAGGGTTTGATATTCTAACTGTTGGATGGGAGGTACTTCTGTTGCCTCTGCATTTGGAGGAAGGGACTAGGGAGCAGAGGAGAAGAGACATGTTTTTAAAATACAAGTTGAAATGTGCTTTTACTAGGTTTTTATTGGCTGAGTCTTTTTTTTGATAACAGGGAACATTTTTCTTCTATAAATATAATAAATTAAAGGGTAGAGTTAATTGAGCTTAAATGACATTTTTAGGCATTTGACACTTAGGTATTTGATCTCATTCATCCTTGAATGTATGTGTTGCAGTAGTTATAATGATGTAGTAACAGGTTCTTTTTAAAAATCCTATATGGATGTCTTTATTACCAGAAAAATTAATTTTTCCTCCCTTCCTTCCTTTTCCCAAGGAAAAAAAATTTTAAAAGTAAATACAATGTTTATCTCATTATAAAAATCCCAGTGCATTTTCTCCTTTCACTGTGCTTCTGTTAGAATTTTCAAAAAAACCCTGCTCATCTTAAAGTCAAAAAGTAGAATACCAAGTTGAATTCTGTACTAATGTTTTTAGGATCTTAATTTCTGCCAGACAACTGCTTTAATCGAGAGGTAGATTTTGGGTTTTATGATCATGTGAAAAAAGGTGAGGTCAATACTAGTTTATCTTTCCTTCATCATGCAATTAAAAAAAAAAAATGCTTTCTCTGCATGGGAATTTTATAGCAAAATAGCTGATACAGTTTGTATTGGCTGAAAGCTGTTCTGGGGTACAAGTCTATTTGATTTCACAATAATATTTTATAAATTACTTTTACTGTCAATTTTTAATTTTTGGACTCCGTTGCTTAAAGTTGTGTAATTGAGTTAACACTCTTTAGTATCAAATCATTATAGATCTTTTTTTTGTGTTTTATGAATTTGCCTATATTCTGTTTAGGCTAGAAATACTCAAAGTAACTTGTTTCACTCTAACAGAATGCCCTGAAAATGACAACTTCATTAGTGCTGTATAAAAAAAACCAAACCAACTGTCAAAAGTTAATTACCACACAAACAAAATCCTGTTAATTGAAACTGGATTCTTTATTTCTTCACCTCCACTGCAGAAAACATTTACCACTTAGAGAAGCCTTTTCTAATTTAGGTTGTTCAGTTAATTATATGCCCTAATTGGGTGAGCACAGATGAATATAAAATGCTTGATAAGCAATTGTGTAGTTTCATCACATAAAGACATACTGTCTTTAAGCCCTAATGTCACACCATCACAAAGGCTCAAGATAGGAATAATCTACTGTACCGCCTCTTTTTTTCATTCTCTTTTCTGACAGTAGTTAATGACAAGATTATTCATACAGCTTATTTTCCAATGCTTTATGTAGTCTAAGCTGAAACAATTGGACTCCTGCATCTCCTTGAAGAGAGTGTATTGTCTGTAATATTTTATTACAGTTCACCAGAGTTCACTTCTGTTTTCCTGATTCCTTCATTTAGAGAGAGCCTGGAGCGTCTCTCAATGTTTAAGAAAATAGAAAGAAGACCTTTTGCTTGGCCCTGCCAGCTCACTATTGGTTCTAATTTGTCTATAAGGATTCTGGCCTACAAATCAGTAAGTTCATAAAATCGTATGTTTTAGTGTATTTTGGCAGCAGGTAAGTGCAGCTGCATGTTTTTTCCTTAAAGCTAAGAAAATAAAAGATAAAACAACATCCAAAATAATTATGGTAGAGATTTTATGAGCATAGAAGCCAGTATATGTAAAACTGTGGTTCCCACAGCAACTCTAACTTCACCCTATTGTACACATGTTAAAGAACTAAAATTCATAATGTACAGAAATAGAAGTAATTGCTATCTACACTGTGACACTTAATGGTATTGAAGTTGATGAACCTGATTAAGAATGCTGTGCTTGTGTGAAGCTTTCCATTTCGTGACAGTGATGTGTCTGCAGCTCAACGAGACTTAATATATATTTCTTAAGCCCTAGGCATGAGAGAGGAATTGTGCACATGTGTATGTAAGATGGTGGGTGTAAATGTTTTTTATCAGCTATTGTTTCAAATTGCATCTCTTGTTATTTCAGACTAGGGAAAAAAAGGTATATTTTTTCAGCTTGTTTGCTTTATACTGTTTGGCAGAGCTTGTGCACAGTCAGTTTCCCTTAAAGTTTGCATGGGTCCTTCACACAGTGCTAGGAAGGAGTAAGTGTATTTAAACACAGAAAATGTGCAAAATTCCAGTTATCGAATAATTAATAGACAACTATATAGAGTGGCAGTATTGATGAATCTGGTGAGATGGAAACTAATTGGTTTGTTATGTGAACCCAAGACTAAGAATCTGGCCAATATTGCAAGGTTTCAGGAAGATGTGAAGTTGAAATATATTTGTTTTCTGAGAGATAGGCATACTAGCCTTGAAAGAGATATCTGCTGCCAGCTTTCTATTTATACTTATTCATAATTTTTTTTGTTAGGATATTGTGCCAGACCTGTACAAATACGCAGTGAGAGTCCCCTCCCAAAGGTGTTTACACGCAAAATAAATGAAGCTTGTGAGAATAAGCAACATGAGCCGAATTGCTAGCCCGAGGTCATACAGCAGTTGGATCAGAGCTAGGAATAGACTTACAATACTGATGTAATTGATTCTGTCTTTTTTCTGTTTTCTGCCCAGTTCTCCATTTTTCTTCTCATTCACTAGGCATCATCAATTTCACTTAAGTAGAGAGAAAAGGTGGCATTTTTGTTTCCCTGTAGTTGAGAAATACTCATTGCAGATACCTATTGCTTCTTTCCCCTCCCAGTCCCATAATGTAGCTGGGATCTTTTTCTGCCTTTTGGGGAAGCTTCAGTAACTAACATAGGGTATTTTTATCCTGTAGTGTAGTAAGCCTGATGCAAAACTTGGGCAAACAAGCTGAATGAGCATTGAGTCTTCTTTTATCTTTAACATACATCTTAATGCTTTGTCAAAAGTGTTTATGTAGGTGGAGGAAGTAAAATATGTAGCAAGCAAGTTACATGTTACCCTGTGACTAAAAAGACTTCCACAAATGACTTAGCCCATGACTTCAATGAATAACCAAGACAAGTATGCAGTCAGTATGTTATAGTTCAGGTGTTAAGTCTCATACAGATGAAATAGTGTGTTGAAAGCACTGTGGTAGCAGTCAGAGATGTATATTTGGGGCTGTTATTACCAATCTCTTATTGGGTAAATAATGCAGCACTTGGTCTAAGAATTTTTTGCATGTTCTAGTAAGCACTCTGGATCCCACTGAAATGTTAAACGTTCCTTTTCTTTGAATTCCAATATAAAGGTCACAGAAGAGAAGGTGAAAAAAATTTGGACAGTTGTGGATGCTAAAACCCTCAGAAAAGATGATGTGCAAAAAGAAACTGTTTACTGCTTGAATGATGATGACGAGACAGAGGTTCAGAAAGATGATACTATTCAAGGTATGACTTCTTCATGTGCAGCCTGAAGACAAACCAAAGATAATGGCTTGTACTCTTAAATCACCTACATGCTTTTTTAGTTTTATACTTTGAAGCCTAGCTGTGATCTTAGAATGTAAGCTCCGTAAGCTGATGGAACACAGAGACTGTTATGTGAGGCTCTTTGTCTTCACATATCTTTAAAATTCTTACTTTTGCTGGTAATAGGAATAATAATAATACCACCAGGTGGAACTTGGAAGGCACTGCAGCTTGCTAAACTGTATTCTGTTGAAGACAACACCTCAGTTCTGTAGTGAGTAGTGCTGCTACCTCTATTCTGTTTTTGAATCTTCAGTTGTACTGTGATAACATGAATACTTTCATAACACTGTTTTTTTCTAGATAAGAAACAGCTCTAGATATGCTGCAATTGGGATGATGAAACCATTAAAGGAAGGTTTAGTGTTCAAGATTCTATTAGCTTTGCTGTTTAAATTCCACAACAGGTTCAATCTGAAGTAGTGGTATGCAGAATACTTTTATAACTTTCAGCTTCTGAGTGGATTAAATTCCTTAGAAGACTACAGGCCTCAGAAACAGCATGAAATAGTCTACTTTTTAAAAATGGAGTTAAGCAAATAAGTTTAATTTTTTGCAGTTGTATAGATATATTTTGTTACTAACTTTTTTCTTTCCTTTGCTTTTTCCCATTCAAATTCCTGGGTTGTTTAACATGATTGATTTCAATCAAGTAGGGCAAGTGTATTAACTATAAAGGGCAGAACTATTCAGATATAGTATAGAAAGTGCTATTGAATAAAATTGGAAAATTAAGATAAATACTGTATTTTTTTTATTTAACCTCTTTCAATTGCTACAATTGAATGTGTTTTGTAGCAGGTAAAAATATCCCAACAATGGTGTGATTTTTTTTTTGTTTCTTTAAACAGAAATTGTAGGTAAAGCAAATAATCTCTTTACGTTTTAAAACTTCAAAACTTTTAGTAAAATAAAAAAAAATTCCACTTTTTATAGTGAATATATTTTGAGGTATTTGTGACCGTTCTCTACCAATGTTGTGACTGCCTAAGTTGGTGAGTGGTTGCGGGATACTAGTAAAAATAAATGAACAGTTCAATGTGAACAAAAGAGACCAAAAATTTCTCTATCAATGCTGTGATATTTCTTACAGTTAAAGAGCTTCTGATGCCTCACGGACTTTTGTGGACATTTTGAAGAATGTCATAATTAGACAATATTTTGCATTTGAAACACTCATACTGAAATTTCTTTCATTCTGTGTGTGTGTGTTTGCTTTTCAGTTTCCAGGAAAACATATCTGCATATAGGTTTTTTCATCCAGGGATTTATTTCTGTTCCTTCTGCTTTCTTTGCACCTGAGGATATCATCCTTATTCTGTGACAGTATAATAAAATGTTGATGTTACAGGGAGGATATTGTAGCTTGAGGTGGGGGAATAAGCAGTTAGAACAGATGATACCTCTGAGAAACTAACAGCTTCCTATTTTGTGCAGATATCCCTGTAACGTAAGGCATGGGAAGTAAAACACAGACATGTATAGAAAGACCACTTGTGCATACAAGAGTGTTTTGGTGTTCTGTTGCACATGAGGGTGTCTCTTGCTTCCACTATTAACATATTTTGTATTCTGAATCCCTTCTGGTGTCGTTTCCTGTCTCTGATTTGCAGTATGTTTGGTGGGTTTTGTGTTACATTTGCAGGGAGTGTTGTAGTCCATTTGCTGAAATCTATCCTGATTTGCTTAAATCTATTCTGTGAGCATAACTTTAGGCAAGATGTTCAGTTGCCTTATTTTTTTCCTGCTCCTTATGAGGGTAGCTGTGTTACATAAAATGGTGTACAAGGAGTGCAACTGCTGTTCGTGAAGTACACAAGGTGTCTATGGGGCGTGTGGGTTTTTTTGTTAACAGGGAAAGTAATTTGAGTGGAGTGTAGCTGTGGGGCATGTATGCATTGTTAAAATATTTAGAGATCTAATTTCGGTGTTAGAATTGTAGGCCCATATGTTTACCAGATGCTCTTCTCTTATTCTCCAGGGTTTCGCTATGGGTGTGATATAGTCCCTTTTTCCAAGGAAGATGAAGAGCAAATGAAATACAAAACAGAAGCAAAATGTTTTTCTGTTTTAGGGTTCAGGAGATCCTCTCAGGTACAGTACTAAACTTTTTTCCCATTCAAATTCCTGGGTTGTTCAATATGATTGATTTCAGTTTGAATTGACTAAAGTTGTGCTGTTGTACTAGGTTCCAGTATTGGGAGTGGGGCATCTGCAGTCAGGTATATAGGAGCGACTGATTTGCTGATTCTAGTACATGTAAACAGTCAGTAGTCTTGTGTAGGAGAGAAGCTCAAAAATGTGGCCATTGGGCCCTCAGGTGGAGCGAGAGCCACTGAACTGTCTGTATCTCTGCAAAGTGGAGACAGGGATATTGTAGTCCCATTACATCTCGCAAACTTAAATAGTTTGCAGGTCTGCAACAGAAGATGGTCTCTCTTCTGTTCAGGTCGTGCAGAAGCCCTTTTGGGCTTCTTTTTAACAGAAGAAGCCTCCCCCTCAACATTAAAGAACTGTTAAGGAAAGCCTGTGAACTGTTTGCATTCATTCTCATTTCCATAAGGATTAGTTTGTGAACTGTGACTTGCTTCTTATTTCTACTGTAACAAAAACTAAATGTAGCAAAGACTTCATAGAAGTTAGATGAAGATAACATCATTCAAAAACTCTCCATATTTCAATGAGATGCTTGGTGTTTGTGTGCATCTACCTGTACTTGTGGTATTAACTTTACCATTTGTTTTACCTGGACGTTGTAAGAAACTTACGTTGAGCAAGTACCTTAATGAAAGCTATTCAACACAAGGTGATTTCCTGCAGAAAATTCAGGACTTAAGCGTTAGGAAAGCCTTAGGAAAAGGCTTAATGAACCCTTCTTGAAGCGGGACACACATGGGGAGAAAGTACAGAGATGTGAGCACCAGTAATTACTAGAAATGTTAAACTGCTCCTGCTTTTTCTTTGGGATATTTCAGAGCGACCAAAACTTTACTCTTCTTGGACTGCGCCCAGTCCCCTTCAGCACTCGAAACTGAAAGGAAATTGTAGGGCAGCTCTGTACCTTTTGTTCTGAAAGCTCTCAGCCCTCCTGCTCTTCCTTGAAATGTCTCACTGCCTGAACAAAATAGAACCCTTGACAAAGCCTGAGGAATTGTTACTTATATGATGGAAAGAAAAATGCTAATGAAATAGGAAGCATCTGTGGAGGCTTACTCCCAAATGGATGTAACTAAACATATTTTTACTTTATAGTACAGGTGACACAGAGACCCTGCATGTTGCTAGATATGCCCTAAGGCTGCTGCAGTGTGGTGGTCCAAAGCATATTATTAACTGAGGAGCCAGGAAGTTACGTTGATTTATTGAAATGAGAAGCTGGCCTAAATGGGAACTGTAACCTGGTTGCTCCTTGAGGACATTCAGAACATAAGGTTGTTAAGTAGCACGGGAGCTTGTATATTGAAAGTGATTGATTGAGGAAACATATCATGCTTGAGCTTATATGCCCTAAATTGGCCAGGGCAGAGAGATGTTAGGGACTGCTAAATCCTCTACCGGAAACTGGGTCTAACAACAGAAATGTGCCTGAGCCCAGTGTTTCAATGAGACAATTTCTTGCATCTTTTCACACGTTATTAGCCTACAGCTGAGTCTTACTGACTTCATTTAATTCTGTAAGATGTATTTCACCATGTGCAGCGTTTTCTTATGCTGGCGGCTGGCCTATTTTGACTTGGAGTCTGACTTTTATTGAAAACAGAAACTACGAGGAAAACAGGTACGGGAGCACAATGCTTCTCAAGTGAACTGTTATTTCACATGCAATTTTTTTGCCACCATTGGTCAGATAGTGTGGTAATACCTTAAAATACATAGTTAATAATTAATTGTAGGAATATAATTACTTGTAGGAATACTTCTGATTCACATAAATATGCCTCAAAGAATTAACAAATTGAGTTTATATTTTTTCAATGCACAAAATATTTATTGCTTTTGATAGTTTTCGATGTGCTTCTCTCGTCTGTGGATTTCATAGCGAATGGGAATTACATCTTAGTGTGCTCTAATCCTGTAACTAGGAGTGTGAGTAATTATGCCCAGTAGTAGTTGCATAGATCTCAGTGGAATAAAATTATTCAGGTGTGATTGCAGGATTAAAATTACACTTTGTAGATAAAGATATCAGGAAGTTTTGAACTACAGCTGGAATTTTCAAGACCCATGTTGAAAATTTCCTTATGTTTTGACTCCTGAATTTTATTGTTTAGAATCATAATACTGACACTATTCAAATATATGTTTTACATTAAATTGTTTCTTTTAAAAACTTTGGAGAAAAGATAATTTATTATTAACTAGAGAAACTGGAACAGCTCCAAATACATAATTAAAGAAGGAATAGAACCGTAGAACCACCTCATATTATTTTTCTGAGTTATTCACATCCCTCAGGAAAGAAGATCAGAGGCCGCTTACACTTTGATTTTTAATTTATAAGCAATGCCATGTAAATCAAGAAATAATACTTGAAAATATTACAAAGGGACCTTTTTTTTTTTGCAAACCAAAACAGGTGTAGTGATACACGTCTAGATATTTATACTATACTGAATATAAAATTTCCTGAGCTTTTAAAGGCAGAACAGCAAAGAATAATTGCAGGTAGAATAATCTGAGTTGAAGAGTTGTGCTGTAATACATTAAACAGATCTGCTCTGGTGTGAGTTGTCACTGACTTCAACAGCATTATGGTAATTTGCTAAATAAGGAAACTCCAGGTTAGTTTGGAGACAGTGTAATTTGAAGAGACTTTTCTTTAACAAAGAAAGGTCACTTTAACCAATATTCATAGTAGAGTGCAGTCTTTGACAGGTTTTCCACTATTGCAATGTTTTTCCAGGTGTGTGTCTTAGCCTCTGTAGTTCCGGCTATACCAGCAATGCCCCATAATGAAACTGGTTGCTTGGGTTTTTTTGGGGTCAGCCATGTTCATGAACAGCATAAACTCCTCTGCTAGCAGAACTGCTTCTTTGCCAGTACGGCTGTATATACTCCAGGTTGCTGTTGAAGTAGCTTTATTAATTAAGAATGTGACTTTTTTCAGCTCCTTTTTGACATGTCTTTGCTAGGAAAATTTAATAGCATAGAAGTGGTATCAGTTAGGTTTAGGTCTTTTGCTAACTAGTGTGGTTTTCCACACTGACTTTTGAATTACTGCACTATTCTTCAGACTCTTAACAGACTCGTATTGTAGTCTTTCATTCCTGCCCATCAGTAGGTAGGTATGAGAATATCCTGCCCAATATGACTGAATATCCATATTGAGTGATAAATTGAGACATGAAACACATACAGGGCTTTAACACAATAATTATGTTTTGTGGCTTCTCACTTGAGTAGTGTGTTACTTGTTTCATAATTTAATTGGTCCAGTGACTTTAATGATGTTTGTTTTAGATCAGACTAACTCTTGACCATTTAAATCTGTAGATCCAGAGGCATTACTACATGGGTAACCAGGTTCTGAAGGTCTTTGCAGCAAAAGATGATGAGGTAAGGTGAACTGAAATTTAATTCTGAAGGTGTTTTGCTGTGGAATAGAAAATAGTAGTGGCACTTGAAATTGTCCCTTCTTTCTGTGTTAATAAAATGTTCTTAATGCAGCTTACAGAAGTCTTGTTCCATTGCTCATTAGGATGAAAAGTTGGATTAGACCCCAAATGAATACCATATCTCATGAATAATGAGAAACTGGTGAATACTATGTTTGTGCAAGGTCATGGGGAACCTGGAATTGGTGCTTAAGTCCATTCTCATGCAGAGCAACAGTGTGCCCTGTCACTGTGTTATTTAGAACAGACCTCCAAATTATTTAAAATATTAAAGGTAAAAACCTCACTGTAGTGCTCTGATGTGTTCCTTTAAGGGTCTGACTTCCATCCGTTTCTCTGACTCTTGTAATACTTCTGAGAGCTCTTCACACCTAGTGGAAGAGGTAAAATGTGCTGGATCTAAAGTTTGCTCAGCTTTGAATGGATCCACTATCATGATGAGATTTGACCTTTCTGCTTCTTTGTTTTTTGAACATGAAAAATGCTTGTTTTGCAGTTACAGCTGCAATGGGAACTAGTCTTGACTAAATCAATGCTGTTGAATTAACTGTGAAAGATGTATTTCAGCAGACTAAGAAGAACTGGCATAACTCTAGACTTTGTTTTGTTTTTTCTCCAGAATGCAGCAGTTGCTTTTTCTGCCCTCGTTCATGCATTGGATGAGTTGAAAGTGGTAGCTATAGTGCGTTATGCTTATGACAGAAGAAGCAACCCGCAAATTGGGGTAGCATTTCCATATATTAAGGATGCATACGAGGTAATTTTTCACTCTTACCCTTCTGTAGAGAGCCTCCGTGTTGATGCTTTACAAATACTAATTAATAAATGACCATATTTGAACCACCCGAATTTGCAGTGTTGCATAATACCAGAAGAAACCAATGTGGCTTTTCAGAGTGATTTTAGGACATAATACCAAATCTTAGGACAAGGAGGTAATAAATAGTTTTAAGAAAATTCCCTAGGAAAAAATACATGGAAAAGTTTATGCCATATGTTTCTGTTAGTATCCTCTATATTACAGATTTAAATAATACTGATTTTTATTTCAATAACATAGTAATAGTTTCATTATCCTGGAAATCTCAAATTTTTGGGGTATCTAGAAACAGTGTAATCACATACTTAATGTAATAAGTTACCACTGTTTTCTTGCTGTGTTAGTACCTACCTCTCTGCTACCTATCTCTGTTACTACCTATCTCTCAATTCAAAGTTGCACTAGATTCTTTAATTTTCTTAAACTGCAGATTTATCTTCCACTTGCTTGGTAGTGCAAAACTTGAATTTGATAGTTGGCGTGGCATTTCAAGTGTATCCAACTACACTGTTGTCATTAGGTTTCCAAGTCAACTGCAACTGAGGGGAGGAGCTCGCAGCATTTAAAGCTGTTGTTAAAATTCATATGTAGAGTCAGGAAGATAGCAGTACCTTTATTTACTTGAAAAGGGTATTTTAAAAAACGAGGAAAAAATGAAATCTGTTTCTTAAGGGGGGGGAGAAAGTTCCGTACACAGCAGAATCACATTTGAAATAATTTTTTTAAAAATTCTGAGAGACCCAGAAGCAACACAGTATGTTAGAATTTTTGCAGCATATGTTTCCACTGATCTATCTTACGAGAGACTATTGAAAGAGCTAAATATGTATAGCATGGCTAAGCAGTGACGAAGGTGGGGGCGGACCTAACATTCTTCAGACTTTTAAAGGGTATAAACATAAAGGATGGAAAGGAATTATTTAGGGTGGTATGAACTGGAGGAGGTATTTAAATAAAGAAAAATCAGGCTGAGAATGTTAGAAAAACAGAACCAACTTTTGACTTTGAAACACAGTAAACTCTGATAAAACCTCCCAAAGTGCCAATGTATGGGGTATTTAAAGCTTGGCTGGTTGGAACTCTGCACAAGAAAAAGAGATCGGATGACTTGAGAGTTCTTAGCAAAACGGAGTGTAGCCATCACTGTATTACAAAATAATGCTGCATGTTATTATGCTTAAAACTGTTGCTCTATAAATATTTTGAGTATTTTGATACGCATAGATATTAGACTTTAGAATTTTTCTGACGTTTTCTTACAATAGGGCACTTTGGGATAGATTTTTTTTTTTTACTTGAGGCTCAGTTGTTTCTTTCTTCTTTTGTCTTGCTCAGTGTCTCATCTATGTGCAACTACCCTACATGGAAGACTTACGACAGTACATATTTGCATCCTTGAGAAACAATAAAAAATGCATTCCTACAGGTAAGATTTGCTGGGCCATTGGACAAAGTAACCTACTGTCCTTTAAGACACTCTAAAAGAGCTAGAATATTTGGCTTTCCAATGAAAATACAAGCTTTGACATTATTTTGCTTAGGGGAAAAAACCCAGCCCTTTGGGAATACATTATGTCATCTTGAAGTGTAAAGCCTGTATCAAAACTTTGCCAGCTTAGTTGCAGGCTAAGCAGACTTGAGGTTTGCAGGCAGTCTTTTAAAACTTTCCTATTAAATGACTTCTGGCTCAAGTTATGGGGTTATTAGTCTCATGGAATCACTATGATAGACATCTGAGATTTAGTCCTCCGTATCCTTTGGTCTTTGAACTCATTTGTGAGACTAAATGGCCAAACCTCATGGGAGCTACAATATGTGATTAGCTAGCTAGAATTAGAATGGAGGCATCAGCTCCATTTGCACAAACCCAGTCCTGTAGCCAGTTGCAGAATGGGCTGTTAATATAATGTCCAAAGGCAAAGGGTGTATTTTCAGTAGTGTGTTGTTTTCTTAAAGCATGCACTTACTGGTGCCCAGATTCAGATAGAGAGCATCTTTGGAGAGCTATAGAACATGCAGCCATACAAAGCTTGACTCACTGTTCTGAGAATTTTGCACAGCAATGAGCATAAATGGATGTAGTTTAAAATCCACTCCCACTTCTTTAATTTGTTATAAGATCCACTGAATGGGCATCTGCATGTCAGTGTATATAAAGCATGCTGAGTTGTTTCTGAAACAGTTTCTGTTTTCTTGCTTGTAACCAGCACTTTGAGAACAAATCTAAAACCTGTTTTACCAAAACAATAGTTGACTATTGTGAACTGTGTTAATTTGCAGTCATAACTTTTAAAATTTATATTATGCCATTTAGTTTTTCAAACCAACTGTTCTTCTCATTTTCTAAGTGGCCTATAAACCTTCTGTTGCAAATAAAAACATCTTGAAAAAGAAGAAAAATGGAAGCAGAAAGGCAGCAATAATTGAGGTCTTGGGGCGGGGGAAAAAAGGCTTTATAACTTTATATTGTAGTCCTTAAATAAAGCAGGGGTTTTATTACTGTGTCCATTATCCGTATTTGTTATTGACACGTCTATATCTGCAGTGTATTCTGTGGCATGTAATGACTTTGTCAAAATCTCACATTATGAAGTGAATCTTCATTTGTAAATGGTTTCAAGAAATGCATCCATCTGCAAGTGTATTTAATTTTTCTTTGTATGTAATTGCTGCATTAGCGGATCAGTTATCTGCTGTTGACTCTTTGATTGATTCTATGAATTTGGTTTATGAAGATGATGATGGAGAAACTTTTGAGGACCTGTTTAAGCCCAGCAAAATCCCAAACCCTCATTTTCAGAGATTATATCAGGTGAGATGAACTATATGGCATTTTTTAAAAACTTCTTTTGTTAAGATGTTTCACTTTCCTGTCTTTCTCTCTTTCACATTGGAAAGATCTGCAATGTGAAGATGGGAATATAAATTCTTTTGTGTTTAGCTATGGGGTAGCCAGTGATTTTTGTGTTGTCCTTGACACAGATTTTATTCTTCAAATTTCCATTTTCCAAGAAGCAAGGGAAACTACACCTGTGCTGAGGTGGTTGCAACAGCATCAGTGATATTCACAGGCACCTAGACTAGACAAGTTAGAACTTGCTTGGGTATCTCAGTGCTGTACTGCCATGATCATAATGCAGGTGTAGACTCAGTCTTCAGCTTCTGGGCAAAGAAAGAAATGGACTGAAAACCAGGGATCCCTTCAGGTCCTTATTCTGTATCCCATCAAATCCTGAGCAGAGTCACTTTTCTGTGCATTTTTGCATCTAGCAGTGGTTCCAAAACAGATCAGTCTGAGATGAATTTGATCAGGACTAAATGGTTAACATTGTTGACATTTAAAATATTTCATTTTGAGTGTCTGAGCTGATGCATTTTATAGGCAAGCAGAACAGTTCACACTTCTTGCAGTTACTGTATTAAGCTGTCTACATTTTGATTTATATTCCTTTCATATCATGAAGATTGTCATCGCAACTGTGAGGATGAGAGACTTAATTGTACATGGAAATTCGAGCATTCAAAAAATGACACAGCAAATTAAAAAATAAGGAAAATTACGATGCAATTTATGCAGCTGCATAATTGTGTTGTATACAGAGCCATGGAGACATACTGAGTGTGTGACTCCACTCTGAAAATTGACCAAAAAATGGTATTATAGCATCCATTTTCATCCTATCTCAACAATTCCAAATGAAATTTTTGCAGTTTCAAGTAGGAAGAAGATGCTTTTTTAAATTAAGAAAACTTACCCTAGCTTCCAAAAGCCATGCTACCTCATTATTGTCAAAAGAGGCAAAGAATCTGAAGGTCATGTTTATGTTTCAGGAGCACATGTAAGCCCACTGTCTTCAAATCCTACTCTGATTGACACCTGAAGAACTCAGTGTTCCCATCAAATTCGGCCAATCATATTGACAAGACAGTGTGTAACTGAATGCAAGATTTGGTCAGTAGAAAGTTATTGCTAGGCAAGAGCTTAAAATGGAGTGACCTCTGCATGACTTGTATTTTAGGAAGGATTGTAAAGCTTGGGTATTATAAAACAAATATGGTTTTGCTTGTAAATTAAACGCATGGAGGATGGAATTTCCTCTTTTGTATTGCTAGATAAGATTCTGCATTCTTTTGGTTCAGTGGCTGTCGCCTATCGACAAAAGATGTTTCTTTAGGTATGCCATTTGTCTTCTGAAACAGTATGATGCTGTTGTCCCAGCAGTTGAGTCAAATGCTGCTGTAAGAGAATAACTGCCTAACTCACCAATTTCCTTAGAGGATGACAGGATTTTGTAAGGGTGAATGCTACTGGTTCAAAAAAGTATTTATTGACTGTGTCAATGTACTAGGTAATATAGAGTTCCTGTCCACAGTGCTTGCTGTTTATAAAGCCTGAAATTACCAGTCCTTCTAGTGCTTTCTTTTACCTGTGCACAGCCCCAATTTTTTGTCTTGGTTACAAAACTGCTATTAATACATATAAGCTGCAAAAAGATTGTTCTCTCCTTTGCTACAAACATGTTCCAGATTTTAATATTTTTGCTCTTAGACCAAGTGACACTGCTGGTTCCTTAAGAACTGTGAAGAAAAATTACATGTTGTCTTTTGAATGTAGCCAGTAAATTGATTGGGCTGAACAGGACCTATAGATGGTTTGGAAAAATAACTGTGAAGAAAAGATGAACTCCCCCTTCATTTCCTTGCTCTGTTGCCTCATGAAGATATTTGGAATGATAAGTGACAAGAGCCAGAACTTAAACAGAAACATCAAGCTAAATTATATCTCTGGAAGTAGTGGTAGGCATCAGGAAATGACAGAGTGGGTGGAAAGAAGTTGCTAATGCTTGCTGGAGTGGAAGATGAGGAATATCCAGAGCTTCAACTTTTATTCATTGCATCTAGAAAAGCCTAAGTGAACTTCCATAGCTTTTGTTGGTGGCAGACTTCCAACATCACTGTTTAAGTTGTTCATCTTAAATATTTCTAAATTTGAAGCACATAGGACATTTGGGGAATGCCATGTGTTTTATTTGATAGCCAAATAAACAAATTGCTCAACAATGATTGTTCCGTACTGGGGGAAAAGTTTGTGGGGATGGTGGCCTGCAGCATCGCATAGTTTGTGGGATCCAGCTGCAGAGCATGCATCTAAATATGCTGTAATGGCTTTTGTTCGACCATGTGCAAGCAACCGTAGAGGATTGAGCTTGTTTGTAACTGGTCGGACTGTACAGTGATGTCCTTTCAAAAAGCAGAGCAGCAGGGGGACAGGAGGTAGCTCACAGAAGTCTGTGAGGGCTTTCAGCAAGACGTAATCCTACCTTTGGTTGAACATAGTGATCTGTTAGAAGGTTGTTTTAAAATTGTCACAAACTAGGTGTAAACTGAACTCAAAGGCGCTTGTGTTGGCATTCAGTTCATACAGACTTAACCACCCTAAAGCTAGCGATCTAGTGTGTGCCGAGTTGTCCAAGTCTATTCCATAATCCATGAAAAAATAGCCTTGGGAAAGTTCTTGCTTTGGAGATCATAAGCACGTGATAGTTGTAGTTGTGGAAGTGAGTAGGTGACTGGCATAGACTATATCTTTTAGATAGCTGAATCTGTCTCCCATGTTCTAAGGCTTTAAATACTATCAGATTCCTGCAGGATTTATCAATTTGCTAAAATACGTTCCTGCAAAAGTGTGTTCCTAGATGCTGTATGGAAGGGAACAAGGCAGGATGCTTTCTTGCAGTAAATTCCTGTCTATTCATGCATTTATGCCGCTGCTTATTATGGAATTAATATGTGAAAAGCTCACTTCATTACATCCATTGACCAGTATCTTAGCGTGACCCCTGTTCCTGAAAACTGTTTGCATCTCTAGGCTGGGTATGTAAGGAAATTAGGAAGAACAAGGAGGAGGTAGTACATTGGTGACAACATACATGAATAGAACAGTGAGTCTGGAAGCCAGTGGCAGTGTAGGTTGCTTTGTAGCCAGTGAAGGTAGGAGTGGTTCTTGCTGGCCACAGAAGGAAAAGAAAGCAAGGTTAAAGGGTCTGTTTGGGATTAGAAACTTCAGGTTAAGTCTGTTCAACTTCATCTCCATTTAGTGCCTGAGTTTTGATGGTACCTGCCATCTCAGGTTTCAGAGGTCATCATCCACTTTGAAAAACAGGAACAAGTGGAGGCTGTGGCTACTCAGTCTCAGCTCTTGCAGCTGCACATGCAGAGGTTTCAGATGCAAAAGCCTGAGAAACACATTCATGACGGGGGACTTAAGGTTTTTTTTCCTTTGTGAGTTTAATTCAATCCCCTAGTGGTGTTTCAATATTGGAATTTTTTTTGTATCACAAGAGCCATTACTGCAGCTTCCAGCAACGTTTTTACTCTCTTTCAAAATAACTATGCCTTAAATCACTACAAGTGTTTCCAAATCAGTAGCCTTGTATGACTGCCTCCTTTTGAAAGTATGCTCCAATATGGATTGGAATCTTAATGGCAGCATGAAAGCACATCAGTATTGATGTGTAGCATATGGTCTGGAAAACCATATTTCTTTATTGGCAACTTTTCAGCATGAATAGAGGGGGGTTTTGTTTGCTTTGGTTTTGTTTAAATTAATGTTATGTGTGACAGCCAACAGGGAACAAATCTCTGCCGTATTTCTAGTTTACTACTGCAGTAGTTACCCTTACACTTGTGTCTAATTCCGTGTGGTGGGTTGACCCTGGCTAGGGGCCAGCTGCCCACCAGAGCCACTCTATCGCTCCCCTTGTTCACCAGACAGGGGAGAAAAGGTATAACAAAAAGCTTGTGGATCAAGATAAGGACAGGGAGAGATCACTCACTAATTATCATCACAAGCAAGACAGACTGAACTTCGAGAGGAAATTCATCTAATTTATTACTAAGCAAAACAGAGTAGGGGAATGAGAAACAAAACCAAATCTTAAAACACCTCCCCCCACCCCTCCCATCTTCCCGGGCTCAACTTCACTCCTGGCTTCAACCTCCGCCCCCTTCAGCAACGCAGAGGGACCGGGAATGGGGGTTACGGTCAGTTCA